AGGAAGGGGGACGACGTAGTGCTTCCAACCCTCTGACATTGTCAAGATTACGGCGATGTGCCTCTCGATCTCGTAGAGCACCAATGGCATCAGCGGAGCGCTGGTTGGACTGCTGCAACGCCAAGTGGATGATCTCCCCAAGGAAGCCTCTCCAACGGCGGCTCCACTGAATGTGCAGCTCGTAGGATTGGGCTCTAAGAGGAGGGCTGGTGCGTGGTTCTTCTGCTGGTCGTCTCAGTGAATGCGCGACCATCCCTGCAAGTCGCTCGATGAGATGGGCGACGCCGCGGCTTCATGGACGTAGGCGAATTCAAGACGCGATTGATTCAGGGAGGCAAAGAGGGGTGACTCATTTTGACCGGCACGGTTCACCCCTGTCAGCACTGCTGCATCAATGAGCTCCTGCAGGGAGAACGCCTGAAGTGTTCCAGGATCAAAAGAAGACGAGGAAGGCAACGCTCCAGCCAAGTCACCCACCGTCTCGCCAGGTTCTTCCGCCACAGGAGGGAACTGAGGGTCTGTCGTCGAGGAGGTGGTGGTCGTAGGAGCACAAGACCCAGATTGTCCAAACATGGACCCAAGGAAAACATCACCCCAGTCTCCAGAGGAGAAAGGGTTCAACGGTGCTGTTGTAGTAGAGGTAGTAGTCAAAGGCAAGTCAACCAGGGTCCCGGGCACGTTGTTTGTTGGAATCCTTGTCAGAGTGGTCACCCAGGTAGTCCAGCTGGATATCATCCACGTAGTCCACGTTGCAGCCATAAGGGACAGGAAAGAGCTCACCCGAGCGAGGCACAAAGTCATCCAGGGGAGGGTGGCTGTACTGGAGGGCGTCAACCACGCAAACCATGGGGTCATCGGGGAAGAACTCACCCCAGGTGACAGTGAGGAGCCGAACAAGGGGCCACGCCATCTAGCCAAGCCGAAGGGGACAACATAGAGGCACTGTGCGAAGACGGAGGGCGCATGCTGGGTGTCGTCGAGGAGGAAGGAGGGCTTGGCGAGGTAGCCGTAGTGCTTGGCGATGTCATCCCAGGAGACGACATGGCCGTTTCATCCAAGTAGACGTAGTATCCATGATCAGTACAGGCGAAGGTCGGCGTCCCAAAGGGCTCCAAGGTAAGGGTTGTCACATTGGTCGCCAGTGTACCCCAGGGCGAGATTCCACCCGAAGAGGTAGTCCATGCCAGGGCGTAGAGGCCGAGGGCAATGCACACAAGGAGGGTGTAGACCATCGCTGCGGCGGGATTCTCGGGCGTAGGGCACGGGCACTTGATCAAAAGGCACTGAGCTAGGGCAAGTAACCACCGAGGCTCGCGCAAGTCACCTTACTACAGCTCCACACTCAGCAAGTAGCTTCACAAAGGAGAAGGAGTAGAGGGTAACTGCACACAGCGGGAAGAGGTACTGCCCAAAAGATTAGTGTGTTATTGCAAGTTGACGGAACTTGCACCATCGAATGTCAGATTGTTCAAGCCAACGGGTAAGGAAAGCACCCCATCGATCACGATCTGCCGCCACTTCCATCCAATCAACCCCAATTGCTTCGGCTATCTCACGCTCAAGGTTAGCAGGGAAGAACGTGGTGGGATGCCTAATCCCGCCGGCACGGGGAGGAATGGCTTGCTCATGTCGCCACCATTTGAGACATCTCCAGCCCAAAAACCGCGCCGTCAACCCAGGTTTAGCCTCGAACCCTCGCCCATCGTCTTCAATTTGTCGAATCCAATGCCCGGCAAGCGAGAACTGAAGTTTACGAACTTTGGTGCTCCACCTATCGTGCCCATGATCATGGAGCCAAAGCCTGACAAATCTGAGGGAACGTTGATTGTAGTCGACCCACTGTTCATCCTGTCGGCGGTGAATTCGAAAGATGTCCCGGAGGATGTGAAGTTGGAGTGTGTTCAGGGCGGTGAGATCTTCCTGGTTCTAGTAGACCGCCCCTGCCACCCAAGTGATCACCCCCTCAACGAGCATCTTGAGGGCAAAGAGTTTGTTTTCCCATGATGCACGACCTCGGAGGAGTGCCTTGTGTTCCCCGAAGGCTGCCCGTAGTCTGGCAATGAGTTCCTTGGCCTGTGTGTTTTGTTTGCCATCAAAGGTAAAGTTGAGCCCAAGCACACGAATGGGTTCATGGCAGGGTTGAACAGCAATAACAACTTCGTCGACCCGAACATGGCGAGGTCCACAATAGTCAGACGTGCAAATAATCGCAGTCTTTCTAGTGGCAAGTTGGAGACCCAGTTGCTGTAAGCAGGAGCTGACTAGCCGCAGTTTGGTCTCGAGCTTGCGAACGTCACCGTCCCAAAGAAAAAGGTCATCCTGATACATGAGAAGTTCAGCGTCCAAGTCTCGAATTGGCTTCCCGATCTGGCGCCAGGCTTCGCCCTCCATCATAATTTCCAAGGCTTCATGGAGCACGAGCGCAAATATCTCCGCCGATTCGGGGGCCCCTTGTCGGATACCACTCGTGCAGCGTACCGTGATGTCATCCGCACCAGGAACTTTGCCGACGAGGAGGTTAGACTGCAGTTGCTCCAGTAGGAATCTTGTTTCCCTGTCCAAGCCACAATGTGCAAGTTTACGGACCAAATAGCTTGCAACGCATCGCCTGTTGATCGCGTCGAACGCCCCTCTGATGTCAAGTTTGGCAATCACCAGTGGGATTTTCCACTCTTTGGACATGTCGCGTAGCCTGGTAAAACACCCAACTAAGTCAGCGGCTTGCCTCCCTTTGCCGCAACAGGCAATGTCGGTACCTGTTCTAAGCAGTGGGAAGGTGCGTTGCATGACAAGTCTGACTGCCAGTTTGTTGGAGCGCGGATGACATCGCAATGGGTCTGAGATCGGCGGGGCCCTGCGGTTGCTCCGTTTTCGCCAAGAGAGCCAAGAGTGATGTGCGCCAGTGATCCGGCGTGGCATTGGTAGCGATCACATGGGTGACAATGGCGAGGAAATCGTCCGCAAGCGTGTCGTGGTCGACAAGGGCACGAAGCAGCGAGACTCCAATACCGTCTGGACCGACCGAAGAGCGGGTTTTCATTTTCGTCAGCTGATCTTGTACCTCCTGAAGGGTAAAGGGAAGCCACTCATCATCGACAGGAACTTGCTGTTGCAAGGCGCGGAGTTCAGCATCCCATTCTTCAGGGGGAGGCCCACAAAGTTTCCCTTCCAGGTGGCGGCGAGCTGCTTCAGTGAGTTCGTGTTCGGTGCGATTCTCAAGCATCTTCCCCCACCATCCCGATTTGCGAGAAAGCTGTCGTTTACTTGCGCGACAGGCCATCCAGTTTCCTTGTAGTATACTAGCAACTCTATCGCTTTCCCACTCTTTTCTGGCCTGTCGCCTGGCTTGGTGCACTTTCTTCCACTCTTGTTTCCCCCCATGGTGTCTGGCCACGGCAATGAGTTCCTTAACGTGTGGAGGGTCATGGTATCTCACCCCCGGCAGTGGTCGCGTGCATGTTTTCCCCAGCTGGACGATATCATCAATGTCGACCAGAGGATCAGGGGGGAGCTCGGAGACAACAAACCTTGGTCGCGAGTCATTCATCCATTTCGTCGCTCGCTGTCGAAGCAGGACAGGGGCAGAGAGAAGGGCGTGATCGGTCCCAATCCTATGACAGGCATCGGGGCAGAGTACTACTTCTCCCGTGGACAGGCCACGAGTCCAAATAGTGTCAATGTGGCGCCCACTCCGACTTTCATCCCTGAAAGTAATGTGTGGGCAGGTTCCGTTGGCTCTCCAGGGGTGCGACCGGTCTGCAGCCCTGGGCAGTGACAAGCCCATGGAGGTAGTTCAGGTTGGCGGACCCAGACATGATTTCAGCCCGCTCATCATCCTCGCATCCAGTCCAAACAACTTCTTCGTTGAGGTCAATCCCAAGGATACAGGGGTATTTACGCCACTTCCCCCCAAGTTCACGTGCAAATTCCTCCGCTGCATGTTGGTAGATCTTGTTGGTGACTCCAGTGTGTGCATGTAACGACCCCAGAACAACTCGTCCTCTGTTTTTGAGTTTAACCAGCACAGCAATCCCTCGACTGGTATGCTTGCGAGTGATCACCGAGTCAAAGATTTCATTTGCTATCCCAATCCCGGTGCCACGCCATTGGCTGGCCTCCCTATGCGAAAGCCAAAAGTGCGTTTCACTTTCTGCTTCAGACCATCCAGGCGTGGCAGATCTTGCAATTTCCTGTATTAGGAAAATATCAGCCTTCGTGTCAGCAATGGCGATTTTATCCAAGGGCTGACCACCCAAATTCCAGCTGGAAATCGTGACAGACGTCAGGTCCGCAACGGGAGCGACGTCGGTGAAACTCTTGCCCTCCACTTTTCATGGCTCCTGTTGGAAAGCCGAGGTGACGTCGGCCCATGGTGCTCCTGTGATCGCTGCAACCGCCCTGATGTCAACCCATCCCAGTCGAAGTTGTAGGAAATCGTCCTGGCGATTGGCGTCCCTTCTGTGTGTGGCGCTGGCAATCTTGTGGATCCCGTTCCATATCGTCCCAGTGCTCCAATCGACATCGAAGAACTCGGAGGAGGCCGCATTCGGATTGCGGATCATCCCTGCGTCGTCCCGAACATTGGAAGCAATCTGGATGACAATGCGGCGAGTGAGGGAGCACAATGCCGAACGCTTACGGGCTTCGGGTGTTTTGAGAAAGGAGGTCCACATGTTTTTGGCAACGCCGTCATCTCCTTGGGTGCTGGTGAGTGGCATTTTATCCTCACGGACCTTGGTGATGATCTGCCACATTCTTGCTCGCAGGTCTGTCGGGGCTTCACCTTCCCTAAGCTTAAACCGAAGGAGGCCGAAACTACGTCGAGGACCAAAGATAACAAGCTTCGTGGTGTCTACTAGGTCGGCGAATTGGTCCTTCGCGAAGATCTCCTTGGCTTCTTCCTCAATGATGGATCTTCGGGTATCAGGCAGCCACCCTCCGACGATCAACGACCGCTGATCTTCTTCACTAAGTCCATTCTTTTTATCATCACCCGGTACCATCCCTTGCGCCATTCCGTTCGTCATCGCATTCTTGTTCTTGAGATAGTCCCCCCAAGGATCGACTGGATGCCCTTCGCCCGTTTCCCCACCGCGGGAGAGGTTAATCTCATCAATCTTGGCTTTGAGACTAGCAATGTCACCCTCAACGGAGTCAACCCTTCGGGACGTTGCATCTCCCTTCGCTTGTACCCCCTGAAGTTGCTGGTCCATGACTTTCTGTCTAGCATGTACCGCCTTGATCTCCTTCTTCTGTCCAGCAACCGTCCCCTCGACCTTGTCAACCCGTCTTTCCAGGCGACCCCATGCCTCCTTCATCTCCATCATGGGCTGACTCAACAGTTGACGCATCTCATCAGCAGTAAGGGTCCCGCCATGTCCGCGCTTAGAAGGGCTATCATCCATCTCACCCTGCCTTTCACCGACCCGTCGCTTCCTTTTGCCAATGCCTTCCGTACCGGCACCACTCTCGACTTCTTCAACCTCAGGGACTCCATCCTCCAAGCCGTTGCCCTCCAAGTCCTCCACCACGCTGGTAGGAGACCAATCATCCCCCCCATGAATCTCGACGTCGATCGCAGACATGGCACAAGAGCTATCTCAGGTTCCTGAAATGGGGCACTTGAGCCAAAATGGCTTGAGCCAAAATGGCTTGAGCCGTAGCCATTTACGGTTTGGGGTTTAGGGGTTAGGGTTAGTAATGGTTAGTGTCACTTTGCTATGACCATTCCCATTATTAGCGTTGTGGTTTTTATCCAAATGCAACCAGAGAGATAAGAATACCCCCTAATAATAAAAACACGTTTGGGTTCATCGGGAGCGGTCGGGGCGGCCCCCCAATTTAATCTTAGCGGGAAGGGATTGGATCTCTCGCAACCGATCACGAGTACGCCAGCCCGCCGTCCCAGCCCTGCCCTGCCCTTCTCTGCCCTGCCCTGAGGCTTGGCCGCCTTATACGACGTGGGGTGGGAGAAAAAGTGAAAAGCTTTCTTTAGACAGGCTTTCGCAGCTCCATAGCACGATGCACTCGACACCGCCTTGTTGCAAGAAATTGTCGCCCACACGCTATTCTACGGCAAACCCTAAACTCTACGGTTGAACCCATGGGCCCCTAGTATGGGCCCTTAACCCTGGGACCCTTATATACCTACTATATACCATTATATACCCTACATGTACCCTTAAGGGACCCTAGAACCCTCCTAAGGGTCCACATTAGGGGCCCATACTTCGAACCTTGGATAAACCCTAAACTCAAACAAACCTGAATCCTATGAGACCCTGAACCCAAGCCTCATCCAAATGGAAGAATCCGTCTGCTTCAGAATCTTCTCCAAGTACACCCCGGCCAACCTGACGCCCAGGCTGCCATCGCCAGCTTTAGGGTTTCGGGTTTAGGCGGTTTAGGGTTTACGGCGCAGGCTTCGGGGGTCCTAAGGTTCAGGGTTCAGGGTTTAGGGCCTTGGGCCTGTGACAGGTTTAGGGTTTAGGGTTTAGGGTTTAGGGTTTAGGGTTTAGGGTTTAGGGTTTAGACATCGGAGTTAAGGGTTCGGGGGCAGTATGTGCGCAATGGCACAGTCATGAACTGACTCCACAACTTCTGTAAGCCTGTAGTTCATCACGGTTCCGGCTTATAAAACTTTGCTCTCGAAGGACTTCCTGGCCGTCAGCAAACTCCAGGCTATCTCTGAACCCCCCCATCCGATATCCTTCAAAACAGGTATCCCACGCGTAATAAAGGGACCTTAACCATTAGACCAGAGATTTGGGGCAAGTCAGAATCTATCTATGCGTACGCATGTATGTATGTACGTACGTATGTACGTATGTACGTATGTATATACATATATATGCTCATCCAAACATCCAACCATCCATCCATCCGTCCATCCATTCATTCGTTAATTCATTCATCCATTCATCCATTCATCCAGGCATCCATGCATCCATGCATGACTGCATCCATGCACCCCTTCATCCATTCATCCATTCCATTCCATCCATGCATGCATGCATGCAGGCAGGCAGGCATGCATGCAGGCATACATGCGTTCATTCATTCACGCTCGCTAGGGAAGGCTGCTCTAACATAGAATCGATAAACCATATACTGCGTACCTCGAACGGGTGTTTACGTCCAAGTCCAGCTCAGTCTGCCGAAGAATCAAAGCTGCAGGAGCACGAGTTAGAAGACAGCGGATGGATGGGGTGGGGTTTTGGGCTCTGGGTCAGGACTCCAGAGTTCTCGGACCTAGCATTCTGGGTGCAGGCTCAAGATTTAGGGAAACCTCGGCTTCTGCAAGACTGCGTGAGGTTTAGGGTTTAGGGTGTAGGGGGTACCCCGATTTTCTCCCACACCCCGACCTGGTGTTCGCTATGACAGGGGAATCTCTGCCTAGTCTTAGGATTTATGCAGCCCCGTAATCCATCAGGCCACACGTGGGCTTCAGGGGGCTATGGAGTTTGCAGAAGTGCGCAGGTGTCTGCTTTAAAGAGCTTTGTAGCGGTCTTCCAATAATTAGCATAGGATTTTGAAGCCTTTTATAGTATAATTATAATAAGGAACCCCAAAATAATACAGGTAATTATTGAGGCCCCTACATTACATCCTTTACCCCTTCAACCTGAACCAAGCCTTCCCGCAACCCCGAGCTCTGAACGCGAACCCCCAAAACTCTACGAACACTACTACATACCCTAAACCCTAAACCCTAAACCCTAACACCCTAAACCCTAAACCCTAAACCCTAAACCCTAAACCCACTACATACCCTAAACCACCCTAAACCCCGAAACTCCAAGGCTCCAAACGCCTTCAACCCCTAACCCTTCCAAACCCAAACTAAAGAGAAACCTACAGCCCGATCAAAAGAACGGAAAAACCTTCTAAACTCCCTTCCACAGCCCTGGACCCTTAAACTCTACAGCCCTAGACGCCAAAAGCCCCTCTCCCCTCTACGGTTTAGTCATAGGGTCTAGGGTTTAGGGTTTAGGCTTTAGGGTTTAGGGTTTAGGGTTTAGGGTTTAACCGGAAAGCCCCAAACCCACTGCGGGAGCACCCGGAGGTCGCGCAAGCGGAGAGCACGGCCGCGAGACCAACAGCTGCGTTGCCGCCGCTGGGCGAGGAGGCCTGTTTCCGTTTAGGGTTGCCATGGTTGTCTTTAAGGGCCTTTTTCGTTCTGATAGAGGTTTGCAAGGGTCCAGAGGGGATTCATGGGGATTCTATCCGTTTTGGCGCCAGTTGTGCCGGGTCTCGCAGATCCCTTAATCTAGTGGTAATGAGATAATGAGACAATACTGTTCGCTTTGCCTCTAGCGGTGTACTTACGAGCGGTGAAGTCCCATGGGCCTGAGATTTTAGGCCTTCGGGCTTTAGGGTTCTGGAGGCTGATTGCTCTTGTCGCAGCTTCTGAGGAAGGTGCATACGTAGTCGCTGTGCCTTGTTGCATGCTCATCCTTAAACCCTAGTAGGTTGCAACGATCTTCGCTCGGGTTATACCGTCAGGTATGCCCCTATAACACAAAACAGTAGAATATCATCGAATATCGCATTCTGCAATCTACTGTAATAGAATCTAAAAGAATATAGCCCAGTATAGTATACTATAATTAGAATATACTATACCATACTGCATAGAAAAATATAACATTCTATAATACACAAACCCTAAACCCTGAACCCCAAACCCGAAACCTAAACCCTAGACCCCAAACCCTTAACCCTAAACCCCAAACCCTGAACCCTAAACCCTGAACCCCGAACCCTTATCCCTGAACCCTAAACCCATATCCCTGAACCCTAAACCCTAAACCCTGAACCCTGAACCCTAAACCCTAAACCCTGCACCCTAAACCCTCAACCCTGAACCCTAAACCCTGAACCTCTCTACCCTAAACCCTAAACCCTAAACCCTGCAGGGTTTAGGGTTTAGGNNGTTTGGGGCTTTGGGTTTTGGGGGTTTTGCGTGTGGGGTTTAGGCTTTACGCTTCAGGGCTTACAGTAGGGGCCTAGGGTCTATGGCTTAGGGTTTTGGGAGTGTTGGGTTTGCGGTGTAGGGAATGAGATGAGTTTCGCAAGTAGATCATGGCAGGCTGTGGCGCCTGCATGCAAAACCCCTTGGCAAGTGTGAAAAATTTGGGGTTTGGGTTTAGGGTTTAAGACTTGGGGTTTAGGGTTTCAGGTTTAGGGTTTAGACTCCGAGACATGGCCTTGCACCCTCTTTGTGCAACTGTTGGCAACCAGTTTTCTAGAA